ATGGAGGGAGGTAAAAACTCCCATAGTGCTGTGCTGTCTGGGGATATGTTCAGCATGAGTAGTTAAATGTTATTTATAATATCATAAAAATCAACAACTTCTGCTGTAGAAAAGAGCAGATAACAGATAAATTGGTCATTTTAAAAATGTTTACTACAGCTGGTTTAAAATATAACAAAAAGGCTTGTATATTTTGTATTTTGAACACCACAAAGTTAGCATCAAACACTTCTTCTAATGCAGTAAGTTTTCCCTTTGAGCTTTATAATATATTGTTTTAACTCCAGACTATATCTGGATTTAAGGCAAAATATCAGTATTAAATTATAGTGATTAAATACTGCATTACTGATAAGTGATTTCAGTTTTTACAATAATTTGACTATTTTAATTTAATAAAATGGCATCAGATTTTTATTTTGTTATCTAATTCAAGGGGGGGGGGGTTGTTTTGCTTTTTTTATTTGATGTGTTTCAGTGTCATCTCCATAAAATTGTCCTCAGATTTGATTCTGTACGTAGTCCTGTTTGACAGAGGTGGTATGTCTTCGAATAAACTGCACCACAGTGCTTCAGAGGTGTCTCAGGTTTGCTGTCGACTAATTTCGTTGCAGGTCAGAGGGCTGAGGGCAAATTCTGCTCCAGAGGAGAAAGTGGTTTCTGTGGTTACCAAGTGAAGCGCTGGAATTCTCTTGTCTCTGTTCTGGTATCGATGCTTTGCATTAATGAGCAGAAATTAGCTCCCACTGCAACATCCAGTTGACAACACAGCGAGTCGACCTGACCTCCCACACCTCTCATAGTCACACATTACACCTCCACACCCCTATGTTAAACACTACACAACACAAACATGTGCACACAACACACTCTCCAACGATGACGAATATGAATCACATCTCGCCTTCTGTTCCACGTTAACTACGATGCTTGTCCAGGTTTTCTGGTGATAATAATGTACGTTTGTTACCTCGTATTTCTATTTTACTGAGTTGAACTGAACTTTTTCTCAAGAGGAGAGGGTGCTCTATTCTTAGGGCCAGTCGCTTTAACAGCTTGTCTGTGGGAGGTTAGCACTTCTGTTCAACTCCTGTTATTTATAGACAGCAGCATGTATAGTTTGTAGCAAGGAATTATTTACCTCTCTGTCCGAGGACGCCCCTCTGGGTCGAGTGAGCCTTTAAATATCCTTTTTACGCAGCCTTACTTATCAGGGGTGTCTTCATCATCAGGCTGATTTGCTAAACAGGCACTGCGAGGCCATTAAAATACACAAGCTGGATGTACAGTGATCTGCTGCGGAGCCGTATCACCTGGCGTGCAGGCCCTGGGTCACTGCCCCGTTTTAAACACAAACAAACACATCACACACCCATTATCTGACCCTGTAAATAAACTCCTATAGGCGGCTGCCTATAGAAGAGACTGACTTCCAAACAACAGGCCATTTGTCACTAATACACACATTTTCTTTCTGCCTTCTGCTATGCACACAGCTCTTCTGTCTCCAACACAGAGACTTTTATTCCTCTGCCCCCAATCACTCTCAATGCCGTCTGCCGTAAAAGAAGTTGAGCAGGTTCCATCATTTTGCATTTCAGAGAGCAGAGAAAAAGACTGACTAAAGCTAATGTTTGGCAGTGCTTTAGTGGCCCTACCTTGTGACCTGATGTATGGATGCTGAAAACAAAGAGGGCTTTGTGGAGAGACCTCGGACACACAGAGTTCACCCTCAGGTAGAGGCATGCACTGTCTAAATCATTGCTGGGGCGTTTGTTTAAAATGGTTCTGTGTGGTATGTAAAATGAAGTGAGGGTGTTTTAGAGTCGAGCGTAAATTCATCTTGATTTTATTGATAATTCATCATGTCGTGTAATGTATTTTGGCAGAAGTTCTCAGCCCCCAGTTTTTAGTAAAGCTTTTTCTCACCAAACGTGGCAGATCAAATTAACCTTGATCTGTGTGTTGGGCAGAAATGTTAAACTCAGAGGATTTTTTTTTTTTTTTTTGGGAGGGTGTGCTGTCTGACCTTCAGCAGCCCTCTCCGAAAATGACAACTGCAGAAATAGCGCAAGTTTGCACTTTCTTTGAAGGTCGCATTTGGTATTTTATTGTACTTTTATTACCTTTTGCAGTTCATATTTTTGTACCACTGCTCTGTGCAAGTAATGTGTTTATGGCTCGCGAGTTTAAGATGCAGAGATTTCATGAGGCTTGGCTACATGGCAGGGTGTTTGTGCACAAGCAGACACTAATAACACTCCCTCTTCTCCATTCAAGGCTTTTTGTTCCTGAGTGCCTCGCTCTCATTAAGCTGCTGTAGTAAGCTGCTTGGCACCTGCTTTAAATGCGACCACCAGCCGCTCATTAACACTAACGAAAGCGTGGCTGGCAGCCGCAATCCACGCCCAGGCTCGTCAAGTGGCCCTCTTGCTGAAATTAGCTACATTTCACAAACAATTTCACCAACTCGTTACATAGTTAGGTGTTTATTGGAAGATGGCTGACTCTGACTTAGAGGTGGTGTGTGTAATAAGCACATGCCAGGTTAAAATGAGCCAGCCCACATAATAAACCATAATTTGCCTACAAATTTAAACTGAACTTCCATTCACTTCCTCAGGCAGCGTAAGCACACAAACTTCAGAGGAACTGTATCCAATAGCAGCATATAAAGCATCATACTTTCTATTTATAATTGCTTTCTATAGTGTGTGGATGCTGTTTTGGAACTTTTCTTCAAGAAATCTCATGCTGTAGCCATCAGGCTTACTCTTGGCCCCCTGACTGTTCCCTTCCCCCTCAGTGTTATTGTTTCTATTCCCAGTCTCAGATTTTTTTGTACCTCAAGGTCCCTGTAGTATTGACTTGTATTAATCCTGAGTAGGATTCAAAGTCCATTTATTTTCTTTACGGTATGGAAAGGCCTTGGTGACATGGCTCCCCAGTGTTTATAATTTTGCTTGTTTCAATTTGTACTCAGCCTCCCCTGACAGACCTGGGACATGATGTATTGTGCACCGCTGCCTTATCTGTTGATGTACAGTTTTAACCTTTTCAGAAGGTTGCCTCTCTCCACTCTGTGCAGACCGCTCTCCTTTTTTTTTTTTCTCTCTTCCCCCTTTCAGCCTCACCTCCCCATCCAGAGCGCAAGAAATACATACAGCACGGCGGCTGAATAAAAAGAAGAGCATAACCCCTTTTCCGAAGTCATCTAATGTAAATGTTTAGGTTTTGTTTCCATAACATTTCCATATTAAGAGTTGGCGGCCATGTGCAGCAGTGGACCATGGAAATGATGAGAGTTTTGGGGCTTGAGCTTTGTGCAGTGCTGAGAGGCTGAGCTATGTGTGTGACATTGTGGTGAACTTGCAGTGTGCATCTGCAGGCTTTCTCCAGGGCTGTTAGCTTTGGCCTGTTTGCTCATAGATACAGCACCGTAAATCACACACTGTAAAACGTAGAATGCAGGGATGGGGTACAGAAGCATGTACTGCTGCGAGGGCCTCTTGGAGGGTGAGTGTGTGTATGTGTGTGTGTGCACGCATGTATAGCCACATATTTTCTTGTACATGTGTCTGTCTCCATACAAGTACTGTATGTAGAACATGCACCGCCTCAAGGCCCAGCCAACACAGCACAGTACACGTACAGCTGGCAATGCCACAACAGCTGAGTCCTGCACTCGTATTTATAATTTATGTGGTCACAATACCTTGTCAAAGTTGTAAGGTCAAACGTCTATGTGTAATAATCTCATAAATTATAATCACACAGAATACTAAGAAGTCCCATAATAATTATTAAAATAGAACAGCAATGTGTCCAAAGCAAAATTTTAATATGAAGTGATTGATCACGGGTTCAAGGTTTTATGTACTTTACCTTGAAACTGAACTTCTACTGCTCTCCGTGCTCCTCTGGCGAGCTTCCTGTCTGGGTCTCCAGGGGCACCACTAGATTGTTAACTGCCTGAGGAGTGAGTATCTGGTACCGGAGCACTGTCAGCCCCCTTGAATCTGGTCTTGCATATGGGGGCTGAAGTGCTCTCCATTCAGAGTTCAACTGTGACATGTCTTTATGCATGGCAGCTAATGTTCAAAGAATAGGCATGATCTATATGAGGCAGAGAGGGGCCACTCGTGGCTCTTTGGGGTTTAATAAATAGCTTGAAAGATGATTTATTTCCTTTGTGAAGAGAACGAGTGAAATAACGTCGGGACATCCCCGGCGAAGGATTCCTTCATTTTAATTGTTTCTGCACCTTTCAGCAGAACTTCACGTGTACGGTGGCTGTGAACGCACCATAGCTGCAACATGACAAAGACAGAACCAAATACAAGGAAAAAACTGAAAACATTTTATTTTATTTAAACAGTCTGAATTTGACTTCTCAGTCGCTTGGCAAGTCATTATTCATAGCCATTGGGAACTGCAGCGCTCGCCAACTAAGGCAAAGTTGCTGTAGCTCTCAAAGTGAATGTGAATGAAACAGCTGGACACTGTTGGACTGGCTAGCATTAACCACCAGATGCTTTGTGCTGAACTCTGTGTGCTCTGTTATGTGCCAAAGGCTTCTGATGACAGGATCTGGGGGCCTTGTTGTAGTGCTTTGTTATTTCATGGATTATTGTTATTTCACTGCCATTGTAATGTGATCGAGTGTGTATCACTCTGTCAGAAAGATCTTTATCTTCCTGGCGGTGTTTTTGTTTGATTCAGCACAAGTTTCCTGGATGGTGATCAAAGGAAAATACCTAAGCCGCCTTATCTCTCATAGGTCTATCTCGATAGCGTCCCATCTTTGTATCTCTTTACTAACTTATTCCTGCTTTTTTGTTCTGCATTATACATCCAAGGCCAACACCAGTAAGCATTTTGAGAATATGAATTTGAAAGAGGGTGTATAACTCATTGTTAGCTACTTTAGAATTCTTGCCGATGACAGCAGTGATGTACTAACAAAAGGCCGATTTTGTTTCTTTTGTTTTGCGCCACAGGTTTGGTCCAGGCCTTGTGATCTACTGGTATGGTTTCATAGGAGAGCTGGACTGCCAGAGAGACAGAGGTATCCTGCTCAAAGACTGCTTCCCTACAGACATTGTCACCTTGTGCCATGCGACCCAGCACTACCAACTGCCAGAGATCGCAAATGAGGACAAAGAGTGAGAAAATATTACAAAAAAAAAAAGCAAAGATGGGAGAATGAATGGGAGGAAAGAGGTGAGACAACAAGGAAGGTAGGAACAGTGAACTATGCAGGGGTGGGTCCCTAAATCCGGAAGCAATTTGGCTTTCCTGCAGTGTGAGACTACTGGCACAAAAAAAATAATAATCTGCCCTGAACTCCACCTGACCCTCTCTCTCTATCCGTCTCTCCCTTTCTTCCTCTCATTCACTGCCCCGAAGCGACCACATGTAAATACACACCGGCGTTCTGTATACCTGACAGCACAGGGTCATATTCGTACCTGCATGTGAAAACATCGTCTTGCAGGCTTTTCTGGTTGTGCTCGACACCTGGCCCTTGGATGGCCTCTCACAGTGGACGGCGGCGGTGCGAGCCCGGGCCAAAGCAGGACATAAGGCCCTTCCTTATCTCAGCCAAAGCCCTGGCCCTTGTCACTCCTTCCTCCTCCGTTCTATAGGCAGATAAAGAGAGGTGCAGTCTGGGGGCTGGGTGGACGCCTGTCTCTCACCTGCGTCACTCACTGCCCTCTCAGTCACTCTGCATGGGGGTAAACAGGATCATTTCTGATTAAGGCTGGCCTCACAGCGACCTTTTTCACATTATAAATCTTTTTTTAGGACAGTGGTTTCAAGCAAATGTTCGTGCTGAAGCTACATTTCATTCCACTGTGTGACTTTCTTCAAACTGCATTGTTTTAATTAACTATATTGAAATAACTGTCAATGATTTCACCATAAATTCTTGCATCTTGGGTTGTTTTGTTTTTTTATCTGACTTGTTTTCAGTCTGTTGCCTATATAGTTAAAAACATTTTTTTTTGTATTTATTTTGTACTTATTGTTTGGGTTTAATGTAAAATTCCGATCATTATTGATTAAGCTGTCAGCTTTTTGTCATTAATTAGTTAATCATTTAGTCTGTAAAATTTTAGGAAAGTCATGAACCATTTCCTAGAAGCCCTAACTTTAGATTGTTAGGTATGTGGTGGCAGCAGCCCAATGCCCAAACATTTTCATTTTACAGAAATACAAAACACTGAAAAGCATATTGTCACAGTTGTGAAGTTAGTTTGACAAATTGTGTTAAACCATTAGTTTACTGTTAAAATTAATCGTATATGAAATAGGCTGTATTTTCTGAAAAGAAATGAATGGATCTGTTGAGACAGATGAGTGTACGATTAAATAAAACTCCAAATAAATTGTAAAACAAAAACCTTGAATCACCTTCTGTTACATTCACTTTTTAACGTGTGATAATTTAAAAGAACGTTTTTATTGTCCTGTACCATTTTTTTAATGTCTATTATTAATAAATAAGTTTTGAGAAACTATTTTGAATATGTTCTTGTCATAAATATTACCACCATAAACTTTGTATACCTGTTATTTATTTCTTTGGCCTGCTTAAGTGCCTGCTGGTACATAGAAACACCTGATTACCATGTAAAGGTGTGTGACTATGTGGTAGTTGTCTGTTGCACATCTTTATAACCCCGGTACATTTTATGAGCAGATACTAATGGGAGAAACACAGCCAGGCTAGGGGAACCAGAAGTGAACATAAAGTTGAGTGATGCTTTTAGAGGCAGATATGCACTGCCTATAGGGGGTCCCTGTCCAGTCCCCTTCTTTATGACACACAAAACGATAAGAGGAAAGAAAGTGAAAGGGTGAAGAACCTGCCATCACCTCAGAGAACGCATTTTATAAGAGGGGAATAATTTTCCACATTGTGCCTTATAACTGTGGCAGTATTGGAACCCAGTAAAGAGGAGAATTTGTTTTAGTTCCTTAATATTATAGTGACTCCAAATCGCCTCACCTGCAGAGAGATGAATTAAAGCAGACCTCAGGTAAAACCACCAGAAGATATACATGGACTGATGCTCTCGTCGTGTCTCCGGTGTAGTAATCACTAAATGTGACACGTTCTTTTTCTGTTGTTGAGGAAAACTTCCCGTATACAATACAAATGAGCTCTCATGTGTTTGTTCTGCAGTCATGCACTGTTCACGCAGTTAGAGAGATATGGTATGTGGGGGTTAAATACCACTAAAGTGTTGCTTGATTTGTTACCCTTAAACCTCTAACCCTCAGCCGGCTCCCTTCTAGGCCTTGATCCCTCCATGAGGAGGCCACTGGGTCACCACGGGGTCGCCAGGCGGCCATGGCTTCCTCTGTCAGCCCCCCTCCGCTCCATGTGGTACAAAACAACTGTCCCCATGTGTCCAGTTAAACTCGGCCCTATCGCCTGGCCATGGTATGCTTAGACATCAGTTTATGGCTCCTGTTGGACACAAAAACAGAGCTATTTTACTCAGGGAGGGAAAATTCTCCATTGAATAAGAACAGAAAAAAATGGAAAACAGCAGATTCAGTTCCTCTCAAGTTTCAAGCCTTCCTGCCATTGTTTTCCAAGATGGCTGTTGCACAAAAGAGGAGCCAGGGTCAGCTCCTATAAATTAAGTTCTGCACACAATGTGCACTAAATACAGCTTTTTTTAAACCTACTTCAAAGGCGAGGGCCGTCATCGGCGTCAGCTGACAGATTTCCATGATGTGAGAGCAAATATAGAAAAAAACACGGTCATTTGATGATTTTTTAGAGCCAGACATCTTTATTTTGTGTTTTCCTTACCCTTGTCTCCCACCCCTTTTAGATTCATTGTTCATGTCACAACAATGGGGCACTCGAGTGCTCTCCAAATAAGGCCGGTTTAGAGAGGTCACTTCCTGGGGCTGTGAACACCCACATGCTGGAGAAATCTGATCCTCAAGAGGCGTCCGGCAGGAACAAAATTCCACATTTTGGGGTTTTTTTATTAAAGAAATGTTTTACCTAAAATATGAGTGTTGTTGATAATCAGCTGAGTGTGACGGAGAATTGGAGAACATATTATCAGTTTCTTGCTGCAATATTACCAAGAAACAACATGCAGTGTGATTTAGTTACACATTTCATTCTGGATTGTAATATTGGTTACAATTCCTAAATCTGTGACTCCCGTGTGTCATATTAGTTTGACGCACTTCACAGCATCCACTCTGTCTGCTCTGGGCCTGCAGGCTATTGGAAGTCCGCTCTTCACTCAGATGTACATCTTGGCCCAATCTCCTCCAGATCCTGCTGTTTTATGCCTCTTCAGCCAAGCTGCTAGATAGACCACTGAGACCCAGAGAAAGAGAAAAGGAGGACAGAACCAGAGACGGAAGGGTAGGTTCTATCCCTCCAGCAGACCACCAAACGGACTTCCTCCATGCTCCTGTGTTATTTATGTGGAGAGAGCTCTGGCCTGTTTCTGCCCCAGGCAGCATAGTGCTTTTAGTAGGAATCCTCTCAGCCTCCCTCAGCCAGCTAGACATCACAGGGTGGAAATAAATAAAGGTTCTCCTGGAAGAGTCTGAGCAGCCAGTTTGAAATTAAAAAAGGATTTTTTAGAAGACTTGAATAACAGCACTGGGAAAAAGAGGCCTCTCTGCACTGAGCTGAAGCAGATATGAAGAGATTTCATCTTTATTTTTAGGAAGCTCTACCCACTAATCAGAGGCTGTTATTTAAAAACAACAATGGATCATGAGAAAAATGGTTGGGGGGATTTTAAATGGCAAAGCGGTGGTTGTTTGATTGACAGGATGGAGGACAGACGAGAGAAACTAAACAACTATGACACATTAATCTACTCGTAGGGCTGGGGGAAGATATGGAGGATAGTTTAGTTTCCTGTGACTGACTGGCAGTGCGGGACAATCAGAGACTTTCAAACAACAACAAAAATGTGAACTCCTGAGCATCCTACAAAGACCCCTCTGGTGACTCTGATGTGACAGTAGATCATGTGAACCACAGGCCTGGCCATTGAAAAATATCTCTTCTTTTTTCAAACATCTTTAATTACGCAACTCAAGTTGGTTTCTGTTGAAATGAACAGCTTGGCAATTGAAGCCTAATGTTTCGCCATGTTCAAGAGAAAGGTGTTGACTGGGCTTCTTGCTAATTGAGGTATTCCATTTAGAGCTAAGCTCCCATTTGTAAAAACAGTGCCGCTTGCTGCGTAACCCACACCTTCAAATAAATGCAGGAAGCATATTTGGAGTTCCTTCCAGTGAGACCTGATCTGCCATGTGTCTGCGGCCATCGCTGAGGCCTGTCACGCTCCTGAGTGTAGCCAAGATGTCAGACATCTGCCAGTGTTTTAACTCAACTTTAATTTATCCCCGTTGTTTTAATATGCTTTGTCATTAAATAAAAGAAGGGGAATGCTGCATTTGAGTGTGCGTTAGCGGTGGAACCACAGGGGTGACAACCTGCATGGAGGCTGCCTGCTCCAGCATCAGCCACTGGAAAGGTCAGCCCCCCCTGAGTGGCATTTGGTCTGTGACAGAAATGACCCAGAAACTGTGCCATCTCCTGTTCACAGCGGGGGTCCAGAGCAGGCCTGGTAACATCCACAGAATCAGGTACAGGCCAGCGTGGTGATGGGCAGGGGTGAGGAGAACAGCAGGGTAGAGGAGAGGTAGAGGAGGAAGAGACAGCAGAAAGGCTTATGATCACCAGTGGCATTCTAAAAGATTAGAGCTGTGCAGTCGGAAAATGTGACTGGAGGAGGTAGGCAGGGGAAAAAGGTTAGTTGCAAGAGGCTGGAGACAAAATTTGCTTCAGTCAAAACAAACCCTGGCTCACCCTTTCCCTTGTCCTCTATTTGTGAGCATGACGGCCTGATGAGAGCTGTCGCAAGCTTGTTATTATGAAATAAGTGCACTCGGGAGGAGGTGGGGCTACTGTACACGGGTGGCGGCAGCCATGGCGATGAGCGTAGCTATTATGGGATGCATGGACCACAGGCTTTGATTGGTGCTGAGAGCAAAGCTTGAATCCAGGGCACAATCAGAGCCACTAATCCAGTTGATAACAGTGGGTCTGGCCCTGCACACTGTGCCAACCCTGCGCTCATTCAGAAGTACCCTGCATTTGTCAAAACAAGCCTTGTGATCATTTATCATGCTGTAATAAATCCTACTTTGAAATCCTAATGCACAGATGAGACGACATCTCCATTATGTACAGACTCAGCTTAATTTTGGAAATATTTGAAAGAGCAGATGTGATTGGGTATTTTATTGAATTGTTGCCACTGGCAACATAATATTTTTGTGCTGGGAAATTGTGAAGAGCAGCGATGGAGGCAGTTGTTTAGCTGGTGGAGGCAAGAAAAGGAAGAAGCAGAAGGAGAAGAGAGGAAGAAACTGACTGGACTTTACTCTTTTTTTTTTTCCTTTGCGATGCTTTATGACTATTTTGTTGGGCCTTCATTGTGCTGAGCAATTAACTGTTTGGCTGAAAGCACCATGCCAGCTCCAGTGCTCCTTCAGCTGGAGAAATGTGGGCCATTTGTCATTTTTACAACTCATTTTCACCCCAAAACACTCCACTATGAGGCGGGATACAACCTTGCTGCTGCCATGTCCTTGAGTTCCTGGTGACAGGTAAATATACACTTCAATCCAAACATATGTCCCATATTGTCTACATCTGAATTATGGGAGGTCAGCCTGCGAGGGATCGATGTTGCAGTTCATTTTTAGAGGCCTGATGATGTCATGTTGCAGTGTACTGCCGGTTATGGGTCCATGAACCTGTTGCTTCAAGAAAGCAACAATTACTACAACTGTCCTGACTTGGAATTAGTGACAAGCGGACGAGGCAACATGTGTGCTGGAGTGGGGTTTTACACACACTTTGAGAGAAACTTGAGTGGACCGAATCCTGCTCACTCTCTACTGTAACTTCAGCACATCACTCCGCTGACAACATCCCAATCCCGCAGGGATCATCATCAGGTCACACAAGAGGGAAGAATGAATGGAGCGATGTGATGTTGTCATTCAAATGCAATGGATCACTTGAACTCCATTGCCCTGTTGTAATGACCCTGTGTAAGGACCTGTAATGTGGTTTTCCCATTGGGTTTGAGAGAAACCCTATGCCAGGCCATTCAGGTGCGCAATAAAGTGCTTTTCACTTTCTGAGGACTTCCTGTCTCCAGTGGCGTTCTCCATTAACTCCTCACAGACAGACAAGAGCCTTTCTATTGGCCCAGACACTCTTTATCGCAGCAGTTATTCCCCCCAGGTATGGCGCTACCTGGCCCGAAGATAAGATAGGAAGCCGGCTGCCTGTCATTATTGGCAGATGAAGGCTATCTGAATATTGACAACAGTTTACACTCCTTGTTGAGAAACAAAGTTGGACTTGTGAGACAGTTGCACACAGGGCTTTTATTGTGCAGAGGAGATATGAAAACCCAGGTTCCCTGTGGTCACACACCCAAAT